GGCAAGATCGATACTATCCTCGCCACAGTGAAGAACAACACGGTGCCGAACGTGGCGGTTGAGTTCAAGGCTGCCGTACGGATGAACCTGCAGGAGACAGATGTACGCGAGCGAGTAGTGCAATACTTTCGGGCTAGTCGCCAGGTGATTGATGAACATGGTTGGTGCAAATTCTTTATGGACCACGAAGGTCTGAAGTTGAAGTGCAAATTACTGGTCGCGTCCCTTGAACCCCAGGCACTGCGGGAAGAGATAGAGTCCATCCTGGCATATCAGAATCGGACTGCGCGTAGTGATGAAAAGGTGCTTTTCAAGATCATTCTGGAGAAAGCTCTTGAGCATGAGCGAGACTTTCAACGCCGTAAGCGACAACGCAGTTCGGCTCGAACCGGGGACAAATTGGACAGTTCACGAGAATTGAATCGCTCAAAGAAGAAATATAGAGCAAAGCACAGTGACGAAGCGAAGCCTGTTCCGCAACAACCACAGGACAAGTGAGTAGAAAGCAAGGTCGGAACGTCCAACAGGGACCTCCAAAGACAGGAGCTGCAAATCCGATCGGTGGTTGCCTAAAATGTAAGGGGGACCATTGGTTAGTGAAGTGCCCAGTTGCGACGAGAAGGCCAATCTATTGCGGCAACAGCGTGAGCGGCGCAACCGTGAGAAGGCTGACCGCAAGAAAGTCGCCCACGATTGAAGTGTTAAGCGCATTAAAGAGTGCCTGCCTGGGCCTGTAAAGCTAGTTGAGCTAAACAGAGTGCACTCGATGCCCTTTTGCGCTGATTCAGGGGCAGATACAAGCGTTATCAGGTAAATCTCAGAGAGCTGATAACGAAGGACCCAGCGGTGAAGCTGGAGAAATTGGAGGAGGCGGTTGTAGTGAGGACAGCTGGAGGCCACATTATCCGAGCCCACGGTAGTGTGGATGTGAATTTGCGGATAAATACAGCTGCAAGGCCTGTGTGCCTTACTAAGCCAGTGAAATGTTTGGTAATCGACGAAGATGAAGAGGAATTCATTCTTGGAAAGGATGTTCTGACCACGCTCGGAATTGACGTGGACCGCCAACTTGAACAGCTTGTGGGAAATGATACCGCTGATGAAGATCCTGTAAACTGCAATGGCGATTTTGAGATTGGGGTGGAAGGCGACAGTGAGGTGAGAGTTGCAGTTGAAGAATTAGCGGATAAGGCGATTGATAACGGGTTTCCACGCGAGCGACGAGGTGATTTGTTGAAGATAGCAGTGATGTTTGACTTTTGGAGACTGAAACTCGGTGATGACCCTCCGGCAAAGGTCCCACCGCTGTTAGTAAAGCTAAGGATGGTGCTAAACCACAGAAGTGTAAGGCGAGGCAGTATCCGCCGCACTTAAGAGAATTTTTGAGAGACTTTAACGCTGAACTCGAGCGTATGGGGTGGGTATATGAAATCCACAGAGCCGATGGGCCAGTCCAGCATTACCAGTGAGGAAACCCGGCTCTGACGAATATCGGCAGACTAGTGACTACCGTGCGGTGAATGCTGAGACTGAAGCTGCTGCGGGTGTGATGCCGATTCTTCGTGTCATTACGGAGCACGTGCGTGATATGGCTCATTTTGGTTTGTTTGACTTTCTAAAAGGTTTCTGGCAGCTCCCTTTGGCAAAAGAGTGTCAGGAATTCCTTTCGTATATGACGGACAGTAAAGTGTATACACCTACCCGGGTGCCTCAAGGATGTAGTGATGCTGCCATCCATTTTCAGCGAACAATGGAGATGTATTTCAAGGAATTACTGTACAAGCACCTACTAGTTTGGGTAGATGACCTCCTACTGTATGGTAGCAATATTGATGAGTACCTGGAGAAACTTCAAAAACTTTTTTCTTTGGTAAACGACTTCGGTTTGAAACTGAGTGTGAAGAAGTCGAGCCTATATCAGAGAAGCGTGAAGTGGTGTGGGAAAATTATAGATGGTGTTGGAGTAACGCATGATTCCGAGCGTATACGGTCATTACGGGAAATGCTGTACCCACAGACTGCTGCAGACCTGCAGCAGTTCCTGTGTGCAGCTAATTGGCTGCGAGAAAGTATTGTGGGCTACGCAGTACCTGTGAAGCCACTTCAGGAGTATCTTGATGTAGCACTCCGCAACAAAAAGAAGTCGAAGCGAGCTGCCGCGGCGGTGCCTATAGTGTTTACTGCTTAGCTTCGAGTAGTTTTCGACAAAGTT